CCCCAAAACCCCAAAACCCCAAAACCCCATATCCTCGGATGCTGGCTGAACTTAGTACTGATCTCCTTATAACTTTATGTGAGGGTCTGGCTCATCTTCCTTCGTAATCTGAAGTCCATACTTCCTGTTGAAGAAGTACCTATAGTACTCATTCAAGGTCATGTCCTTGAGGGACTTCTCGATCCTTTCTATTTTACGGCTTTCTTGGTTTTGTTCGACTCTTTTAACGAATTCTTCATATCCAGGTTTGTCTATGAGAGTTAGGGATCTAAGTACTATTTCTTCTTCAAGTTGGTCATATGCTTTTTTTTTATGATTATTACAGTCCTTTTATTGCTCTTAGACTTCCTTCGAGGCTTTAATTTAGGACGACTTGTTAGACTTGACTTCTTAAGACTATATTGTCAGGGTTGCAACCTACTATGTGTTTAGAGAAGATCTTTCCCTTGCAAAACGAGATTTGAGATTTTGAGTTGAAGGTTTTGGCTTAGGCAACGAGATATTAGCTATATTTTTAATAGAAATAATACAAATCTCCTTTCTTTTTGGAAAGAATAATTTTGCTTTTCGTTTAGTGGTGAGTTCAACCTTTTCTTGTTTTGGCATATACAGAGTTTCAATAGGCGGTTCTGTTGGGTAAAATACTGGAGCAGAGGCATTTTTGATCATTAAGCTAAAATTATTTAAGACATTACTTAGAATCCGCTTGTGATTTCTTCTCTGGGTTCCCGTTCTCTTCTTCATCTCTAGATTTCTTATCTAGTAATTCTTCATCAATTATTTCAGTGACAAGTGAAGTATTAGTTGCCAAGCTGACTTTGCATGATATTTGAGCCTAACAGAAAAATTAAAATTTTATCACTTAAATTCTCTTACTACTCCTTGGAAAGTTGCAAGTTTTCGCATGTTGGCCTCCTCTATATAGAAATCATAGCACGGCACAGTCTCCATAGAGTGTTATGTCAATCCATAAATGTTGCTTGTCAAATGAAAATTGCCTTTGAAACTGAGATTGCTTACTTTCTCTATCAATGACTAGAGGCTTCACTTCCTCTTTTGCTTTAATTTTTCAAGGCTCGCTAAATATGACCCTAATTGTATACCTCTCTGAGTAAGAAACAGTTGGGGTAATCTACGCCATCTATTCTTAATGGTTGAGTAATCTTTTCCTTCGGAGTCTCCACTGCGAATATAATCCTTGGAGAAACATTGTAACTTTGAGGTACCTCATTATATCTATTTAACGAAGTTGAAGGGAAGTTAAGGAATTTTGGGGGAGGCATTGTCTTACCTTTTTCTGAACCTTTCAGCCAACTCTATCTGCTCAATCTTTAGCTTATTTGAACTTTATTAAGTGGGGAGGCAAGCCTAGTGGAGAAATTAGTAATTGATTGATTTAGATTAACATTGTCTTTTTGTGCTAACTTACTCTTTTCTGAAGATGTCTTTCTAAATCTCTTGGTTACAGGCCCTAAAATAATGATTTATAAGGATATATGAGCCTACTATTAGATCACTGATGTTTCGAATACTTCTTCCTTCTTATTTTAGGAGTTTTTGGGTTCATCTTTGCTAAAATATTTATTTTCAATCTCTTGCAAACTGAAGGGGTTTTGGGGTTTTGGGGTTTTGGGG